AGTATTGGAAAACTAGATACTTTAGTTAAAAAAACTGCTTATAATTATCCTTAAAATTCTAAGATATAGTTCCAAGTTTAAATATTTTCCAAAATCTTGCAATATACAAGCATTTGTAATATTCTTTTTACAATAAAGAAAAATAAACAACCCTCTGTATTTGTCAAAATTCTTTTTATTCTGTTAAAAATGTAGATATTTTCTTTAGTCTGAGAATCTTTATCTTTTACGTTTCAAGAGAAATATAACATTAAGTTTCAGCCAGAGTTTTTTTGGTACAGTATTAAAATAATCTTACGAAGCATGGTAGCAAAGTGTCTCTTTTTTAAACTATTTACCACACCTCATAAACTATAAGGGCCACAATGGATAATCTATAGAATTCAGATTCTAATTTCATTACCATTCTCAACTAGGAATAAGTAATTCCCCATTCCTAGATAGTTCTAAATACTATTTTCACTTTATGGAAGACAGGGAAACAGTCAAATCTTCTTTCACATATTCAGGTATGCATTTAAGTAGCACACAAGCTGACAAATGAAAAAAAGAAATACTAAAAGAAAAGTCCTGCATGTTTCCTAGTAAGTCTTTTCATTTTACAAATTAGAAATAAGTCCTCACTGGCAGCCCTGTGTTCTACAGTCATAGAACATTTAAAGGAAAAGGTTGTTTTCTAGGCAGAATTCTTCCCTTCCACAGCCATTACCAGTTCTACCACTAAGGGTACAATTTTAAATTCTGGGTTACAAAATTATGGGACCTAAGAAATGGCTTTGGGGATATCTTAATATTTAAGAAATCAACTCTTCATCACAAAACAAGGGTAATGTACTTAGAATTTATAAGAGATATTAGAGCTAATCTAGTAAATCACATTTTGTACAGAAAGAAGCAATGAGGCCCAGAAAGATTAATTGACTTGCTTAAGATTGCTTAGAAAAGTACTGGCAAACTAGGTGAATTTTCTTTCTTACATCACAATAAAAATCTTATTTATTGGTTTTAATATCTTTTACTATAAAACTAGCTAACTGATTTGAGGCAATGATTTAGAAAGCATTTAAAAAGAACTTAAGAAATGATAGCCCTTGAGAAGTTTAAATATTATAAAATCCGTTGTGGCCAATGTTTTTACTAATAAATATCATGTTAAAAATTCTTACCTTTAGGTTTGATCTGAATTTTCCATTATTTACCAGCTTTCTTAATATCATCAAATAATTTAACGTTTAATTCTCCATTAAAAAAAATTAAAAGAGTGGGCAAAAGTAATCAACTGACCAATAAAAATTAGACTTAAAAGTGGAACATTCCTTACTCATATGTGTTATACATCTGGGCAGCACATTCAAAGAGTTATATATAAAATCTCTTTTTTCTCCACACAAATATGCTTGAGTTAATTGATCAACTCATGTTCTACAACTGGAATTTCAAGTCAGCATGAAGGAAATGCTCTTAACCTGGCTAGCTGTGGGTTGATCCTTCCTAATATGAAATGCATGAAGCAGAGATTATTGAATATGTCAAATTTACCTGAAATGTCAAAAAAGTAGGGCATACTCCTCTACATTAAAGGAAAACTCCAAAAGGCCTCACTTTCTCCCTTATTTTGTATCAACTCTTCAACTCCTGACACACTTTGAGTCTTATTTGATTGGCTTTTCAAATCCCCTTTGGAATTAAATATGATATTTATTAATTCATTAATTAATCATAATTGACTTTGAACCTCAATACTTCTGCATATTCCTACGTAACTTTTTTATAGGAGCTATTTATCCTTTGAAAACAAGTAAGAGAAGAAGGAAGTTGCCTACACTTTGTTA